TTTATATTTTTTAGTTTCAAATTCCTTGATTGCTTAAAATTAAAGAAAATTTTGAAACATAAAAAGTTTCTCAAAATGAAAATCTGTGGGAAGTCCAAAGTTTTAAATACTCCTTTGAATTCGCTTCCAATCTTTATTGGAAATGGTTTCTTTAATTGTCATTAAATCTCCTCATAGACAACTGAGTCGGTAATTTAGCTAAATTTAAATTAATTATTTTCAAACTAAGCGTCAGTGTGTCTACTCCGATCGCGTGGGAAGAGCTGAAAACTGCTTCTCTATTATTATAAATTAGATAAAAAGGGATTGAGCAAATAAAAAGAGATATATACCCACACAAGACATTATGGTGTTAGCATCCTTTTCGGAGTGGACATTAGTAGTACCTTTTGTATAAATATCTGTGTTAATCTCTTCTTCGTCGCATGTCGTAGGTGGGTAGATGGGTAGATGCGTGGGTGACATGTCGGTATCTAATGATTAATGAAGAACAGTTGAGATAAGGAAAAGACGGATATCGGGACAAATTAGTATTAGAGCATATAAAGAGGAGATTGATCGTGCGCGCCCCTCAAACCAGTCACACTAACATTGGGTGATAAAATTGAGCTTATCCTGTTAGAATGAGTGAAGTGCATTAATATTTCAACAAACAAATTTTTGATTTTTGTGGCTAAAATCTGTCAGATGCTTTTTACTTCAAAAAAAGACTCTACCTTTTTCTTAATAGTGATCATCGAAAGAGACTAACATTAAAAACTTCGGATTGCTATCGCTTAGTATTCCAGATAAGACAGAAAATATCAATAATCCACCATTTCATCATACCCACGAAGATTTTCAATATATGAGAACTATTTGGGTTTAATTTAATTTAAAAAAATCTATATTGCTGAAGATATACTTTAGATTTTTCTCTATTTGAAACTGAATGAAATACTTCAAGTCCTAATTTGTAATTTTAAAATTTCGAGATACAATTCTAAAAAACAAAAAAAATTCGAAATTTCAAAATACTGTACTGAAGACAGTTAAAAAATTGAAGTTCTTTGAATGCCCAGAAAATTTCATTTTCCATAATTTTATTAACAATAATAGAATTAAGATAATAAAAATCAAATTCATATTTTAGCATTCCATTCACCAGTTTTTGTTATTAAGCAACCTTATCATCCTTATTACAAGAAGATAATAGGACATTATTTGTATCCGTATTTGCTTAATACTGTTATGTTCATTTTCATTTTATGTTTGCAGTCTTCACGCATACATTTATGAAACATTGAATTAAAAAATTGCAATCCGTTAAGTGAAATAAGCAAAGGTAAGTGAAATCAGAGATATTAAATGAGTTGAGAAAGATGTTACAGACATCTTAATTCTGTCATTTACTAGTATTTCAGCAAGATTTTGTACTTGTCTTACGGTATATCAGACTTAGCATTATTAACTAATTATATAAGCAAAATAGTTAATAGCATGTGCGCAGTATTATTCCATCTGCTCCTTATGAGAAATCATTGACGCCTACATATGAAAGCGTTTATGCTTACTGTATATAGTTGTTTGTTCAAAGTATCATGAAATTTTAATTATTATGAGTTGTAAAAAAAGAAAACTGGAATTTGGGAGTCTTATCAGCTTAACTTATCAGTGCATGGACGGTGTAATAACTTAGAATCAAAACTATATTGAGTGTTATCTTTCCAGAACAAATCACTGATGCCTGATGTATCCCTGATATTCCCATAAATAATAAATATTGAAGGAAAGTGAAATACTTTTGTAAGGTTACAAAGACATTAAGAACTGTATCTCTTTCAAGAAAAGTTACTGTAATCTAATAAATCACCCAATCCGGACTGAACAAATAACATCCTAGTCATTCTTTTTTTTTTTTTTTTTTTTTTTTCATATTATGAAGAGAGAGGAACTCTATTGATAAAAGTGCTGTTCCCACTTAAATCAGTGGCAGGAAATTAGTTTCATTTTGATTTTCACCTACAAGCAATCAACAACTGTTCCATGCTTAATTCATGCTATTTGAAAGATGGCAATAACGCACATATTTGAAATTGTGGGAAATCAGCACATTTATCTTTGAAAGTGATCCGACAAATGCCGTGTTACGTCATACGTTGACTGCGTAAACGTGTACCAAGCGCTTCACTTATCCCCTCACTACAAATTCATCCCAACGCCTATTTCATTGTAATATGATCGCTAGCTTAACGAATAACGCAATAAATTCAATATTAGTCAAATTGCTTTATAAACCAATTACATTAGAGGGCGGAGCTTATATCTAATAAAAGCTCCGCCCACCACCTATGCCAAGGCATGCTCGCTGGCTGTCAAAATGTAAACCATGTCGTGTGTATGTGTATATGGATGTATGGGTGTATGTATGTGTGTGTGTGTGTGTGTGTGTCATCAAAGCATAAGTGAGTCTACTTGAGATTGTTCATTTTATGACTGTAGGTGTTTTCTGCGCTTTCGTAGATATTTTCATAGCGAAAAAATGAAGGAACTTTTTGGGAAGGATTCATGCGTTCGGGGAAGGAATCACTTCGGGGATGATATATTCATTTCTGTAGCAATATTGATTGGTACTGATAAGGACAGTTGCTAATAAGAGAAAGATATGGACGACAATATATTAAACATTGCTTACTTCATATTTCAACTGGAGAAGCAGTTGTAGAAGTTCGCAGAGCTATGGGAACACACATTTTAAAAAGTTCTGAATATCTCCGATTGTTCAGAGTCTAATTTGTATGTGTGCATGGGCTTATGTAATTCTTGTCTGATATTGTTATTATTTTTAAAGATAGTAAGTTCATATGTTCAACAGTAGCAATATTAATAATAATAATGACAATTAATTATTACACGGTGATAGTAATATGAGATGAAAAAATGTTTCATTCTGATTTTCGAGAGTAATACTATTCAAAAATCATTACCGCATCCAATTTAGTATTGTCTTTTTCCATTTTGCATTTTGCTTTTTTATTTGTTGCAAAAATATTCGAATTTTTTTGATTATTTTAAAAGCGATCAAACTTTTATCAGTTGTCTGGTTTGTTTCGTCTTTTCGATGCCCTAAAATTCGCTTACCTGCTACTTGTTTTTTGCAGCTATTTTCTACTTTTTTTTTAAGAGTTGAAATAGGAAGAGGAGCTCGTCTAATGATTAGAAATTATAGTAGAAAATTCTAGTGGTAATAGATATTTTGTGCTGAATTATGAAGTAATTACTGAGTAATAATTGTTCAGGAAATATTGTAAGAGACATTCATAATATAACTTTATGATCTCAATTCTGTTTCAACTTATAATCCATAACCTTATTTTAGATTGCTAGGGAAATACAGGAGAATCTGATGTAAAGAACATGAGTGTTATAAGTGATTTATGATTTAATTTTAACTTGATTGCTTTTTTGAAATGTTATTCTCGTCGTCGACACAGAATTCAATTCCCTGAAATATTTTAGTTCATGCTTGGGACAGACAAAAATATTAGAAGGAAGTGACATTTGCTGTGTCACCTTATAGATATTTTGGCCTCAATTCTAAGCAGCTATATAATCCTACTTCGAATTAACTGCAAGATTTCGCGGTAAACGCTTGAAAAAATCAATATACCTCTTTTTCCAAATAATTCATTGTTTATTTGCTTTTAAAAAGATATCGATACATGATAAATTTCGAAGATTTTGAACGAAAATTTTCCTTCCATCACTAAATGATTTTCTTTATTTTGATAGATTTTGTTTTTATAAGTTTTTTTTTTTTGCTTTTAAACAGGTATATTGATTTTTTATGGTTTATAAGTTAATAGTTGTCAATATTAAGTTAATAGTTACATTTTATAAGCTGAATTTATCACAGACAGTTCACTTCTCCTAACACAACGTATTTAATGGAGTTTATCAGATTTTTGAAAAATGTCTTTTATAAATTGTTTACAGTGACAAGAAATGTTATATTTTCAACATCTTTTTTTATTAATTACATAGCTGATAACATTATCAAATTTATTTGAACAGAAACATGCAATATGCGATTATAGATTCACCTTCTTGTTTTAGGTATGCTGGATATCTATTACTTTTATACAATCGCAGTATAATTGGCTGGTAAACGTATTTTAGGCTAGATTTGGTGGGATAAACATTTTTCCTGAGGAAAGGAAGAAGAAGGGGATTTGCTGCAAAACTGTTCAGATTCTTCATAAATAGCATGAATGATGTAGAAGATAGCTTACAATCTAATAGACCCTTTTTGACCTTCGATTGCTTTTTTTGCAGTGTGATATAAATCAACAAAAGACCATTCATGTTTATTTGCACTGTTTAAACAAGCAGACAAAAAAGTTGTCCTTATCAGAATAATCCAATCACAAAGATGAAGCACGTTCTTCTTCCACTTCTCGCCATTTCAAACTAACAGGTTGCTTCTTATTTTTATCATTTTGTGTAATAATAGTTACACCTCCTTCTTTCCCTAATAACTTTAACTGTTGTAAACATCGTGAATAAACATTCATGATAAATTTCCGAAATGGTTTTGTGCCATTGTTAGATTATATTGTTTTATCAAAAAAACAATATTGGAGAAATGAGTGGATTTGGGAAGCTAAAGGAAATAAATTGGCTATGGCTTCTGATTTAATCTGGCCAGCAATAATCCGATATGCCATTCAATTTGATAATAATATATATGAAACTCATTTGGTCTGACTGTAGAATTTGTTTAAATAACTAAATTAGCTACTTGGTAATTGTTAGATAGCCATTCCTACTTTATTCCAAAATAACCTCCTGATTTACATATTCATTAGAAACTCGAGAAAATTATAAAGTAACATAAGTGCTTTCTGTTGTTATGCTGGTCGAGATTATTAGTCTGGAACTGTCTCGTAAGCTTACAAACATTCTCTTAAATTAAAGTTCTATAAAAACTAGGTGAATGATATCTATGCATGAGTGCCAATATGCGTTTTTCGATGGAATCAATATTGTGCGGTCAAATAAAGAACAATAGTGCTAAAGGGCGCAAACGATCACATGAAAGTTGCAACAAAGACGCCTTTGGTAACAGAAATAAATGCAAAGAATCAAGCAGTGAGGTTTTGAGGGTAAGCAAAGGTTTTTATCTTATTCTAGCATATTCTGGGGCATAATGATTAATTGGCTAATTTGATTAATTTGGTTAGGTATGGATTCGCTTATTTTATTTATTTGCATGAGAAATATTTTGAGATATAATAAGCTCCATGTTTGAAGTGCCCTCAGTGGTTGTCGAACATTTGATAACAATAATAATAGCAATAATAATAATGCTTTATCTTTCTAATTTACCTACGAAATTTGCAGGCAAGTACAAGTCCAGATCGACCGGAAAGTTCATCATTAAACAGCACTAATAATATTGTAACATCTGTTCAAGGTTCAAGCTCAGGATCATCACACTTAACTGACTACAGCTTTTTTGCGGATGAACACGTAAGCAATAAAATTAATGTATGTTTAGAAGCGAATTTTGAATTTAGGAAACAAAAAATTGCTTTACTGAATTAATGAAATGTAAATTGTCAGCTCATTTCACAATGTAAGCAAAAAATCAAATAGTTCTGACTCAAATCTTCAAACTGTTAGCTGAGTTTTTAATGTAACTTTTTGAACTGTTAGAATGAAAAGAATTAAAATCAAGCTTTAATGTAATATATATCAAGCACTTTCAAATTTAAAGTTGATAGTTCTAGTTCAAACTCGTAAGACTGGAAATATTGGGGCGGTGATAGGTTCTTTATCCAATCATACATTGCTGCAATACAAGCGCAGTGATGGATGGTTTGTGCTTGTGGTCTTCTAAATTACTAACGATTAACTAGCTCTTCAACCACTTATGCTGTCTTAATCATCATATACTTTTCGTGTCGAATAATTTGCTACCGTACCGCTTCAGCAGTTTGATAATTCTTTACACTTATCATTGATCATTAGAAAATAATATCCATCAAAAGTGGAAACATTCTAAAAGTTTTATTATCTTTTCCTTCGTCAAACATTGTTGCACATTTATTGTTCATATCACTCGTAATATGTTTATTTCTTCAGTTCTTTTATTTATTCCAAGCCTATGTAATAAGTGTGGTTTGATGGCATTTGATGAATTTCGAAATTATTTTTAAACATTTATATTAATTTTTGTGATTTCTGTTCCTTGCTATTTTAGACTCACCAGACTAGTTATAGTACAAAATACACGAGGTACTCTAAATCAGGAAGGCAGGGAAGAATCGACATCAGCAGAAATGCTTGTAGTGATGGCAAAATAGGTATCATCAGCTCTTCTAGATCGGTAAGTAATTATCGGTTATTCGGTAATAAATTGCATTACTTGTTGGTGTATTGTTTATTATTTCATTCTTACTACAAAATTAATTTCATTATTATGTCCATTTCATCAATTTGGAATATATTGACTTTTTATTAGATGATAAAAGCTTGCTGTGTTGACATAATAGAATTAGACTTTAAATAATAAAAACGAACTTTATCAACTTAGTACCAGGAAATAAATTGAAATAATTTTTCATTGGCCTCTGATTAATCTTTTCCTAGTTGAAGAAGAAAGTTTTTCTGTAAGAAAAAGATTTGATTTCTTCAAAATACCTTTTTAATTACTTTTTATATTTTCTCAACAATATTAAAATTCTATTTTATTTATTTATGAAATTGCAAAGTTCTGAATTTAATAATTTTTTAAAATTAATTACATTTTAAACGTTTAAAAGGATTTCGTTGAATAATTGCTATTGCCTTCTTTGCTCAAATAGAAAGAGGCATCACTGAAAGAAATTCATGAGTTTCTCCAACTAATATTCATATGCAGCACTATCGACTATTATTATTTTTGGGCAGAATTATTGGGTTACTTAGTAAAGGGATAATAAAAAGAGACGATGTGATATCAGTCATTCTTTCATTCTTACTAGAAAATACCATTTCCAAGCATTAGGTTATCGAGGTAACACTTGTCTCATTAGCAGTTGGTTCATCGTCTCGACAGTGTCAAACAACTGCTGTTGCGCAATAGTCTGCAATACAGTGCCGCTTACCAACAATTATTTCATACATTAAAGTAACCCTATTGATTATGGATCATTTAACATTATTGAATTGAGTTGTGTATTCTCCTCTTAATTATTATTCTCTTTTCATTTCTTTCATATTACGCAACTTTATCTGTTACTACACTTATTATTTTGCACAGCTTCCGTTCTATTTTCCAACTTTTACTTAGATTTTTCCAGTAAATCAAGAAGATTAAGGAAAGTAGTTTATTTCTTTTAATTCAAAATTTTTAAGAATATTATTACACTCAAAATGAAAAGGTCAAGCCTAAATTTATTGCACTAAGACTAGCAAAATAAATAGACTTGCAAATACATTTTATTCATTTTTTTTTACAAAAATGTTGTAAAAGTGCATGTCATACCTTCAGGAAGGTTCAGCATCACCAAAGTGGTCAACTAATTTTACCAAGGATACTAATCGACCTGGTTCAAGCTTGGAAATATATCACGAACCTCTCAGTTTTAGTTCAGATGATGAGGGCCAGTGCGAAGATAATTCGAGGTACTATATAGTCAGTATCAGAGCTTACTTCTCAATGAAAATTCAAAAACTAACTCTCAATGAGTTTAAATGATTAAAGTATTCCTAGTAGTTATTTCACGAATCTATTTAGAGAACGCAATTTCTAGATAACTAATTTCTTCATAGGCAGACGAACAAGCACAGCAGTAACCGAAGCAAGTCTAGCACAACTAAACCAGCTTACTCATACATTGCTTTGATTGCAATGGCAATCCTGAATAGTCCCGACAAGAAGTTGACTTTGTCACAGATATGCGACTTTATTATTAACCGATTTCAGGTTTGTCTCCACTTTGCAAATTCTTAATTGCTAGCTGTGAAAGTTGACATATAGCGGGTAAGCAATTGATTTCCAGAGAAGAGAGAGAGAAATCGATGCTCAATTCTTGGCAAGAACCTAAATAGTTTTAGATCTTTGGAAATTATGAAATCTGAGAGAAGTCAGCAAATGTTCTTTCTCATTAACAAGAAGTTTAACTTCATTTAACTTACAGAACAATTCAAATTAGTATGACTAACATATCTTATTCGAATTTTTAACTTTATTAATTGATAGCAATCAAATTTCGCCTTTACAGTACTATCGAGAAAAATTTCCTGCATGGCAAAATTCAATCAGGCATAACTTGAGTTTAAATGATTGTTTCGTTAAAATTCCACGAGAACCAGGGAATCCCGGGAAAGGAAATTATTGGGCCTTAGATCCGAAAGCTGAGGATATGTTCGATAATGGATCATTTCTTAGACGTCGCAAAAGGTCTTTCACATTCCTTTACATTTCGGAAATAATTATTTGATCCTTGTTTCGAGTGGAGCAATGATTAATTAAGGATTACGGTATAAAAATGATGTTATTTTAAAAGGAATGCTTTTTATGCTTTCTACAACTCGAACAACTACAAAATTAATTAGTTGCCGACAACTGGGTGCCATCTCATTAAATCAGAAAGTAAATTGTGGAGGCGGTCTTTTTATGAATTTTGAATTTTTAAAGCAATAGATTAAACTCTGAACAGAGTTTTGCATACCTATAATTTCCTGCTTAATTTTTGGTATTTGAATAAATTTAAACGGTATTTGTAAGAAAAAAATTTTCAGATTTAAACGCCAGCAACCAGAACAGGATTATCAGTCAGTTGCTTATCCTGGAACAACGTTCTTACCTCCAGGACCACCTTTTCTAGCTTCAGCATTCATTGGAACCCCTGGTGTTTCACCACTTCCGCGATTAACACCCATCAGACCGGCTCCGTCGTTGGCATTTCCACCACTTGTGCCTCGTTTACCTGAAGGTTTTCCACCTCGAATTCCTGTCGCTAATCCACGAACATTAATGATACCACCAGCTACGCATGCACCCTCACCTTTTCCATGTATTCCCACGGGTATATCACCAACTGCTGATCATCAGAAACTGCTTGCTACAATAGCCGCAAAAGTTATAGCATCATCGCAAAGCGACAGTATCCCTACGACTTACAAATAATACAAGGTCAACACTGACATATTGAATGTATGTATGATAATAATTTAAATCAATTTTTACTAAATGTATCTCATCAGTTGTAATTTCAACAGGGCCCTTTTCTTTTCATTGATGTATAATCTCTGTTGTTCACTTATTATTGCTCATTTTTAATCTTGATTAGTCTAATGATCCGCGGTCATTTGTCAGACATTTATGAAACATTCAGAGTTGCTTTAACTTCTATTTTGGATGATTCTTAAACTATAATTTCTAATAATGTCATTTCTCTTTAAAAAGTTTATCTGCAGATTAAATAAAAACATGCGATTATTTATTAAAATTGCTGCCGAAGACTTCTATGTTTAACAACAATATTAAAGTTTGATTTATCGATATTTGTAGATGACTTATTTTGCACAATTCTGAGATATTCCCACCTGAATCACCACATTTGTTTTTATCTTGTCATTTTTCTACCTGCTGAGTTCAAATATAAATTTGAAATCCATCAATGTTATGAACCATAGATAGAGAAATATCAGGCTATGTAGCTCTTGCTCAATATAACAGTTTTCTCTGTCTTCTTTTTGCTCCCTTACAGAGTTCAAATATCTTGGGTAATCGAGCCGTGGCAACATCTGAAGATTGTCAAGAAATGATAATACGTCACACGTCACATATTACGTGTCATGCTGTCGTAGTAGTGTTATTTTTTCTCTTAAGTGGATAAGCAGTGCGGTTCACGGTGGTTGTTATTTCAGTTGTCCCAGGTATTTCAACAAAAAAAAAATTTTCAGCACAAGTCTAGACTTCCTCTATGTATCATATTCTGATATTGAAATGTATTCATCTGGGTCAAAGGATTAATGTAAATATATTGTAATAGCTATTTCATGTTTTTATTATTTATTCTTTTTTTGCTAACTTGTTTATTTAGTTTTTCACTTGTTTATTTATTGATATTGTATCTATTCTAATAAAAGTGACAATTCTTTTGAATCGAAATACATTCAAAACAAAAAAAAAAAAAAAGAAAATCGCCCGTCAGAAAATTAAATTATTGTTATAGATGAAAATTTGATAGACCGATCGTTCCTTTATCTGAAAAATCAATCGTCCTTGAAGAGAGAACGTCTTATGCTATGAAGTTGCATTATCCAACTGCATTGATACTTCCAGTGCATTCCAATCTTTAAGTTTATTTCATCCCAACTGCCAATCACTATCGTCTTTTCTCCCAACCTCTTCTTTACATCTTCTTTTCTTTCAATAAATTACGATCCATCATCTCTTGGAGAGGAGAATCACTGCTTTCACAGTTGTGCTTCAGACTAAAGCTTGAAGCTGAACAGCTTCAGGTCATTGATCATCTTATTGCTTGGATAAATTTGTTGAGAGTCATAAAAAACATCGTTTATTTGTTTTGATATAAAATGCAAACAATCATTTTCAATATTTCAAGATTTCTAGATTTTGAGAAGACAAGATATTTGTGCCAATATGAGTCGCCAAATTGTTTTCAAAACTTTACCATTTTCGTAATTCATTCTTTGTTTAATAAAGAAATTAGGGGAAAAAAAAAGAAAAAAAAAACAAGTGCTATGAGATACATTGACAGATGATGAGAATTCTGTTCACTCTAAATAAACAGATAATAAATATAATTTTACAACAAAGCATAAAAAATAAACGAACTTTTTCGATGTAAACGTTTACTTATCAAATGTTGCCTTCCAATAGGGAAAGTTTTCTAAAATTGGAAAAATTCTTAAGAATTTAATTAAAAATCATTTTCTCGAAGCTTTCCTAACTCAAATAAACGGTCTAACATTCAAACCTGTTTTTAAGGAAAAGGTTAGATACTCCATATGATGGGTGGAAGAATTAATACTTGTGAAACGACAATCAACAGTTGTTACTAATTTGATGTGACACAATAACAAAAATTGTTTACTTCTCTATCTCTCTAAAGAACCATTCCTCACCCAGTCAAAATTTACACAAACTCTTAATTAATTTGTCAAATAATCGTTTACAAAATTGGACTTTTCTTATTAAATCATAGGAACAAGAAATCATATGACTTCAAGTAACTCATTTTATTCCTCTACAAGGTACTTACTTTCAAATTATAAGTAGCATCACTAACTTCATGTCGAGAAACAAAAAGTTTTAGTTTACTTCGTGTACTAGAAATCCAGTCTGTAAAGCGAGTCCGCATTATCCTCTTTGTAATACTGTTAGATCTCCATATACTTCAAAGATTTTCTGGATCCTTCAGGAAAGAATGAACAGCCAAGTATCATGTTTCTCACTTGCTACTTTATGAAAATTCCCGTCATATCAGAATGTCAAAAGAAACCTTTCTGTGATGCTTGAATGATTTGCTTTAAATCCATAAACATTGTGGTTTACTGAAAGAAGATAGAAGAACCCTTACATAAGGACCTGTCTGTAGCGAGGTGAATTATTCATCGTTCATTCCCACAATTCTCTCTCTCTCTCTCTCTCTCCCTCTCTCCGTGTGTGTTCTTGTAATTGGATTTAAAATTATTTTATTGTTAACATATGTCACTTTTTAACTGATTCAAATGTTCCTTCAACTGAATGCAGAAATTTGAATACATTTGTCGATGTAATTCTTGAAAAAAGTTTATTTTTGCATAATTTATCCTTCCTAAGACTACGACTGCTTGTCAGAATCAAAAAATTGTTATCGAATTCAAAGAATGATGATAACCTTTGTAAAGTTATTGTTCTAAGTAAAACACAAAATAGTAAACAATTACTGATTTACTTTTTCAAATTTGTAAATCTTTTTACTTCGAGAATCGTTTATTCTTTTCGCTTTTGCTGAACGTTCAAATTTTGTCATAGAAATAAATAAATTTTCAAAATCAATTGAAAATGAGTAAAATAACGACATTTGGAAATACCACTAATTATCAGTGCTGCCATTACTATTTAGATAAGTATGGACTTTAAATTTTCAGGTTTATCCAAGCCTGACAAAGCTGTTTATCGGTGTTATAAATAAATCACTGTTAGCAAACAAACAAACAAACACACACATACATACACATACTAACGTACACATATAACATACATACACACAATTGCATGAATACATATAGATATACAATAATCGCTGTTAACTTAAGAAAATTGGACTTTTTGAGAAAGGAAAAAGATTAGTTACGGAGCATTCACAATCACATTTGAGGCTCTATTTGCAATTGGTGATATCGCTTCACTGTAAAGTTCTTGCAGCAATATTTTGGGATCACATCAAAGGATAGCGAAATCTCTGTCTTCTGAGCAATTAGTCAGGTGTTAACAAGATCAACGGCTGTTTGTGCTATTGCATTGATTAAGCTCAGCGGCAATTATTGCATCTAAATGACATTCACAGGCATATATGAAATCTGAAAATATGACGATTAAACTGTAATACAACTTAAAAATAATAACCCATCAAATATTGCAAGGACGATGGACTGAAATCGATTCACTAATCTTCACTATTGCCTTATATAGTAAAAACACTTCATATCATATATGTAGTAAAAAGGGAGTTTAAAAGTACTGATTAATTTTGAAGGACAGCCACCTTACAATTAGTGTTTTCAAAGATTTGGTAACATTGTTCATGGTTTACATTAGCATCACTGTAAAGATAATTCTGTTTAAATGAGCTTCTCAAAAGGATAAATAACTTTACATTTCATCGACCTGTCATATTACCACTTTACCGAAAATTATTCAACTATTAACTTCATATTTGAGAAATTACATGATAATAATTTTCTATTCTTACTTTGAATTTCATCAATAATAAACTAGTGATTTGTCAGCATTAGATAGAAAATGCTATGCATTTATTGATTTATCATTGTAGTAAAAGAAATTTCAACATTTTATTATAAATTACAGCGAGGTATAAACAATTTCAATTTTGAACTTGTTGTCATACAATACAACATCGCATCACTGTTCATATCCAAAATTCTTTAAGGTTGTTCGCTGAAATACTATTGAATTTTAAATTGTTATTTCTTTTTCTACCAATACTTTAATACTCTTTGAGAGACTTGAAAAAACTTCAAGCAGCTGAATACGAGCTTGATTTCATATATGCTTTTGTAGGACTTTAGCGCAATGTCCTGATTGCAATTTTCAAAAGAAAATATCACTAAAGAAAAAAATCACGAAACTTTTGATAAGTAAAGGATAAAGGTTCTTATGTATATGTAAGTGAGTCAGCTGTCTTTGTACTATCATTTCTCATCATCCTTTTTACTTGTGCTGATAAGATAGAAAACAAGAATAAAACTTTGGCAAATTTTTCCACGTGTATTCTGTATCTTCTCTTATTCAGGAACAAATAACATTGTCCTCATTATGAGAAAAGGACAAACGATGCCGCTTCTTTTCATTCTTGCCGCTAATACCTTCTCTTCTAAACTTGTTCGATGCTTAAGTCGCAAAACTAACGTTATTATCAGTGGAAGTTATCACTGATTTAATGGTCACACTAATGCAAACAAAGCATTCATATTTCATTTTTATGATTCTTTATAAAAAAAGAAAACTAAAGGGAATTTTTCAAAAATTCTTTGATATATTGGCAAAGCCGCATGCAACATTTTAGTATGTAGTTCTTCAATACCTTGGTACCACTGGCATATCTAGCAAACCTGAATTTAACATGCAATTGTCACAAAGAGTTTTACTGGTTCCTAATTGATTACGAGGCTTTACAAACTTTTCTTATCCTCGATTCCTTCACTTTAACTGTTTCAGGCAAACGAGCAATGCATTGAGCACTGATAGTAGTTGAATGTGTTAGAAAATATTTATGACATCTTTTGCAACCAAACTGTTCACCCAATTCAAAAAAGTTCATTCAATTCATCCAGCAAAAAATATCATTCAACCTGGATTTTAGAATCAAGAATACAGGATATGCTGTGATTCCGACAAGATAGCTGAGCTTTGCGAACGGTGATAGTCGCTTCGAGCTTTCTTTGAAGATGCGGGAGAAGGGAGGCGAAGAAGATTAAACCGAAGGGATAATTTACAATTCACACCATCATCGAGGCAATTTGTCGCTCATTAGTCTTGTGTGAAGTTCGCGAACCGTTTATTGCTTACCAACAGTTGTTGGAGCCGTAATTCTCAGTGCTTTCCGATAACTCACCGGTCTAGCTTTTCCTTCCTTTCTTTTAGTTGCCTCCTCTTTCTGTCCTTCTCGTTTGGTCGGCCAACTGACCAATAAAGTGCCAAATAAAATGTATTCTTGCTTGTTTAGAGTGATAATTTGTTGTGGAAAAATGAGAAGAATGTATGCAATTTTTTAGTTTTGTTTAAAAGCAATAAAATTCTTATCTAGAAAAGTTCAACTGTTACTGTACTCTATATAGAGAATGACTATGAAATGTTTTGTTTTGGCTCAGCTTTGATTGAAGGAATCGAGGACATTAGATGTGGAGGATGAAAGGGTATCTGATGAAAAGAGGAGAAGAGAAGAGAGATTGGTTATATTTTCTGGTTTCTACTAATGAAAAAACTGTAATACTTTATATAAAAAGCAGTAATTATCTCTTTTCATCACATTTAAAGTGAAAATTATTAAAAGCAACTGAATATTGGAACGAAAAGAATTCCGTAGAAAGTTAAACATCTAATAATTGATGACGAGAGCGGGGGAATTCCCCTTTAAGGCATTTATGCAATCCGTTCGTTAAGTTTAAGCTTTACTGTTTGGTAAAACTCATTAATTACATTCAAAGCTTTTTCAGTTTCAGTACGAAGCTTCAAATGCTTGTCAGTTCTTTTGTATATGAGACAAGACTTGATAATAAGAGATCAAATAATATATGATTTTTCCAGTTAAATAAATATTTCAAAAAAAAAAAGTGAAGTAACATAGATTATAGGTTACGAAGAATAAAAAAGTTTGCACATCATTACTCAAATCAGGTAGAGAAGAACTGTTTAATGCTGATGGAATAAGTATTACAGGGACGCAGCTTAAACATCTTTAACTTTGCAAAAAATAGGGCAATGATCACACAAACTGTTCCTGAATTAATTACAAGTTTTCATAGGATCAACTGTACATGCGTGTGCAGTTGATCAAATCTTAATATAATTAATACAGCAGATCTTGTGATTTGCAGTCAAAATAACAGTTTTAACACAATCAACAATAGATCTCATATTTTGCTTATCGTACTGAAAAATTTAATGTGAGAATAATATTGCATATCTTGTTTGGATAAGTTAAATATGTTTTATAATATGCTTTACATTGTATACTATAATTGAAAATTTTGATTAGCAAACAAATTTTAAAATGTTTCAAATTCTGTTATCCACAATTATTGAAATTACTTTCACTATGAAATAAGTAACATTGTTAGAAACGGCTAAATTGGAAAGGTATGAAACTATAAAAAACGAATTACTATTTAATTTTCTAAAAAAATAAAGAAAAAAGCAAAGAAATAATTGAAGTTTTTAAAGAAATTGGATTAAAGAGCCCTTTTCAGTCATCACATTTTGAAATTGAAGATATGCAGAAAATCCAGAATACTACAGAAATATAATATACCTCGCTCAGTAGAAGAAAATTTAAGACTCTATATTCAACTCTCGACACAACTTCACAATTTCATTATAGGATTATGCCAACTTTTCAATGCAATACTTTCAAATGATGAAAACTCAACCCAGAAGCAATATTTATCAAATTTTGTTTAACTCCAAGTTTTATTTGAAATTACTTTGAACAATATAGTTTCCATATTAAGATAACAAAAATAACTTCGAGAATGGAATTATTGACTAAACTAATTGAGTTTCAAAAAGAGAAGTCATTAAGCCATCGAAAATTAACATTTAAGGAAAATTAGTCTATAAATAAATATTTCTATAATAGCTACCCAATCAGCAATAAATCCTCAATAAAGGTTATATTATGAGACACTTATTGAACCACAGTGTTAATACATGATTTAGTCATTAATTCATATTTATTGATTCGAATATAATTAATAATGTGTGTACAAATAATGACATAAAACTGTTTTTGTGACGAAACATACGTTTATGTTATCTTTCCCTAATAACATTATTCTGAATGTAATTTTAATAATTTTAGGCAACTGAAATTCGAAATAATCTATCACCGAAACCGAGATTGAATACCTAAAAAAC